TTTTTTTTTTTTTTTTTTTTTTTTTTGATGTTTTTAGTCTCTCTTTTTCTCGCTGATGGCTTTTCGATGGTCGTTGTTGCAAACAACAAACCGGGAGTAGTAGTAAAATAAGAAGCAAAAAAGAAAAAAAGGAAATAAAAAGGGTTAGAAGAAAAAGAAAAAAAAGGAAGAAAAGGTTTTGCAGAGGAAACGTGTCAGACCGAACGAACGAACGAAACTCCACGTTGTTGACGAGTTAAACGATCTCTCTCTCTCTCGTTTAGTGGCAGTCAAACCTTTACTCGTACATGCGTCCATTACCTACTCGTAATGACATAGTCTGCGTGAAACGGCCTTGTCACGACGTCACGAGAATGCGATCGTCAACGTCGCGTAGAAATATACTATATCAAAATGTCGTTGTGGTTAGAAATATATTTTATCGTTCCTCGGGATGTACGCGATAAGCTCTTCTTCTCTGCAGCAAATAATCTCTTCAACTTTTTTTTTCTTTTTTTTTGTTTTTTCGTAAATTTTCGATAAAGTTGTCAGAAAGGTAGAAAGATGAAGAAGAATAACGTTGTTGCTTACTGAAATTTTTTATTTTTAAATTACGATTCAGCACATTGAAGAATGTACGCGAAGAAACGAGTTTCTTGTTAGATTTTTGTTCGAAAACCATCGAATTCCATTGAATATCAAAAAGCTATTTCTTTTCTTATTTTTTTTCTTTTTTCTTTTTTTTTTTTTGGATCATCACGAAAGAATGTTAGTTTCATAGAATACCGAGATAAAATTATACAAAAATACATTTAATGTTATTCTATCAAGTAACTCCAAGCAATAAGAGTATTTCGCGAAAGAGGAAGACAGAAAGTAAGAGAAATAGTCCAATCAAGTAAAAGAAAATAGATCATTAGAAGAATCGTCTACTCAAAGCTCCCTACTCTAAGTCATTCCATCATCCTTGGTTGGAACGTTGGTACACAACATTGCCCATCATCGATGATATACCTTTTGCTCAGATTTATTTCTTACCATTCGCGTTACCAGATATAAATTCACTCTTCGTTTCTACCTTACGACTATTATTACTTGATAATAAAGCGATATTGCGCAGATCTTGCCGCGCGCGAGCTAGCAAATGACGCGGAACGTCGATTTAACGAGCCACCAGGCCTCCTCCTCTTCCTCCTCCTTCTCCTTCTCCTCCTCCTCCTCTTCCTGCCCCTTAGTAAAGTTCTTCTTTCTTTATATTTCTCTTTATTTATTTCTTTTTATATCTTTCCTACTCTCCTCCACCCTCACCCTAACCCTCCACTCACATCTCGTACTTTCATCTCCGACCTGTCACGATCGTAACGATACACACAACGCTCGTTTTCTTTCCCGGTACATAAATCGACGAACCAAAGCATCCGCCGCCACAGCCTGATCGATAAAGATCGCATCCCTCCAGGTGAAACGACGAGAGGGACGAGGTACGATCTACGAGAGAGACGTCGTTTGCTAATAATTTCACGAGGAAACGACTATTTACTTCCTCGTAATATGCCCCCGAGAGAGAGAGAGAGAGAGAGAGAGAGAGAGAAAGAGAGACCTTTATTAGCGTTTCTTTCATTATGTTACTCGATGTACGATTCCCGTGCAATTAAGACTCTACTTGCCGATGAGTATAATCGAACTCGATGTGAACCGTTAATAATTCTTTTCTTTTCTTTTCTTTCTTACTCTTACTTTCTCTCTCTCTCTCTCTCTCTCTCTCTCTCTCTTTCTTTCTAACTTATTCGAATCTTTTCGTTCGAACGGATATACCAACAAGGATTTATTTCTTTTCTCATTTAAACTTCGATCATTTCTTCTTTTTTTTTTCCCCCCTATCGTAATTTATCCGTAATAAATAATACTACGAGATTACATTGAGAACAAGGAGGATGGAAAAAAAAAAAAAAAAAACTTGTCTAATAATTCAAGTTAATTTCTCGAATACGAGATTCTTTTATCAAAGAATCGTACGAATAATTTCGACATTTTTGCTTAACAAATTTGTGACGCTAATAATTCGTTCCCTACTACTACTACTACTACTACGAAGCAGCAAAAGCTTTGCTTGGCTTCCTCCTAGTCAAGGGCATGTTATCGTCGAAGCATAGATGTCGAGTTGGATGACGATGGCAGTGGCGTACCGCTCGACGCGACCTATTATGGTACAAGGAAATTGCTTCCCGTCGTAAAATCCATCGAAGTGATTGATTAGCATAAAGGTAAAGAGAGAGAGAGAGAGAGACTGGCTGACTCGTGCCTGACTGCTTCTACTCTGTCTATATCTCTCTCTCTCTCTCTCTCACTCACTTTCCAACCAACCAAACCTCCTCGTCAACTCCCGTAGAATCCTTCGTTCAATATTCTAATATCCATATTTGAAATAAACCATCTTGTCTCCTTAAACCTGTCCCTAGTACAAGAGTACCAATATTATCAACGTTAATAGTCTCTAATCGTCTTGTAGTAAGCATGTACTGAATCTTAAAGATAAACCCTCTTGGGTTTGTCCATTTTAGTTTCTTTTTATTAGCTCTCTCTTTAGCCTTTTATTACGATAATATTAGTGTTTTTTTTTTCTTCTTCTTCTTGTTAAGCAAAGTGTCAGGGATAGCCTGTTTTAAGATACTACATTGGCTTCTTGTGAAGTACATAAAAGCTGTCTTTGGTATACGAGTTTATTTATCTATCTATCTATCTATTTATGCAAGGCTTATGTTTGTCTTACGAGAACCTTGTCCATAAAAGCTCCAAAGAATGGAAAGAACCAAACATAGGCTATTGTAACGTACTCCTGGTCATCGGATACAAGGCGTGGTTAGAACCTTGACAATCCGCTGAACGATAAGAGTCAACATTCTTGTGAAACGATAACTCGTTAAAACGAATATTGTGCACACTAATCGCGTTTACAGAGAAGGAAAAAGCTGGTCTTTGTAAAAAAAAAAAAAAAATGAATGAATGTAGAAAGAAGTAGATACGAGAGCGGATGGCGGCCAAGAGTGTGCAAGAAAGAAAAGCTTGTTTACTCGTCTAGATTCTCCTAGTCTTTATAATAGTAGTAGTAGTAGTAGTAGTAGTAAGGAGGGATCTTTTACTCGTAACCGGTATTATTATGTCGTTGAAATGTGTTGCGTTGAAGTAAACGAAGGAAGGCTATTAAAGCAAACTCTGCTGATCTACGATAGGTGGTTTGTTTACACAAAGAATTAGAAAAGTCGGAAATGTAATATGCAAATGTAATAATATGTAGGATATGTAACTCACCTTTCCAGAGGTAGCGGATTTGTAGAGTGGTCCCATGATAACGTGGTCGGTCGGACAACCGTCGGAATCGATCAAGACGATTTCGCTGGAGTCTACACCGTCCATGGCAACTAGTTCTCGAACAAAAATTTCGTATGGACTGTTGGGATCGAGAATTTCGAATTTGAGTGCCAATGGGTCGCCAACTTCGGCAGAAGGGATAGCATCGTTCCCACTACGATCGGTGATCTTCATTGCTACGTTCGGTGAATCTACGATCACTTCTTCCGACATTGCTGGGGTTATATCACCGTGCACACCTAGATCTACTTCATTCGAGACAGTCTTATTGGTCAAATCGTATTGGCAAGTAACCGCTAGTCCAAGGTCAGAACTCGTCACGATCGTGTCGTGATGCTGAATCACCACGTCGTTCAAATATCGGCCAAGACCCTGCTGTCTGATGTTGCACTCTAGGTCATCGTAAGCCATGCGAAGTTCGAACTCGAGTGCACCCTTCACGTCTTGCACGCACGAATTTGGTGATCCCTTTGCGTAGACCTTTCCATAAAAAAGTTTGCTTGTTTGGATTCTAGTTACCATATCACCAGCACGGCAATCGATCGTTACGTTGTAACACGAACTCAACTCGTACGTTGATGCTTCTGCCACGTCCAAATAAGGTTCCTTAAATCATAAATGTACATATATAATTTTCTTTAAATTAATACTTATTCTTTAACGGTAATACGCATTAACTAAATGATACACTCACGAACAGATTTTATTGAAATAAAATAAACATAAAATGTTTGCTATATCGAATGACATGCACACATTTCTCTGGCATACTAAAACTCGTCACGTTTATTCGTATAAATTTCTATGATTATTATACCCAGGTAAACGATTAGTTGCGTAAATGAAATTTTGCTAATTCATAATTGTTTGAATTTGTAATCGTATAGTCACGTATATCATCACGTGCATCTACTTAAACGCTACGAATAATCCAATTAAATATGAAAAAAAAAAAAAAAATAAAAAAAATGAAAAATGATTTATTTAAACAACGTATTCGTCGTATCATTAAATTACATATTTTCGATAGAATTATATATTTATTTAAAAATTCACTCAACAGATTATTTGAAATACGAATAAAATTTTTTATAGATTTACGTATCATCGTTCGTTGATTATTCCAATTTTCTACGTTCATGAATGCATCCTTGGGAAACGAAGTTTCTTTCCCTTTCTTTTCGCTTCAGAAAAGCTACTACTACTGCTGGTACTGATGCAAAAGGCTCGACGGACAAAGCATCTGCGGTGGAAACTAGATTTTCCGCGAATACGTTCTCTACGTCGGACCATCTCGATTTGTTTTACGCGTACTCGATGTAATCGGGTTTTACGGAAAGTCTCTTTCCCTCTCTCTCTCTTTCTCTTTCTCTACTGTCCATTCTCTACTATACCTTACTGTCTAACACGATGAAACGAAACAAATGGGAAACTCGCAAAACCGTTTCTCTGTCTCGGAATTGTTTTCTATGTTTTTAGAAATTCCAATTTTCCTAGAGTAGTGTAGACTTAGAGAAATTTCATTTTACTCACACACACACACACATACACATATGTTAAACATATACAACATTTATTACAAGTTCTTACCTGAATATCCGAAAGGGTTGCTCTGGAATGATGGCTAAGACGGCAAACCATATCACCGGTGTCACCATAATCATAGGAATGGCAACGGAATGGCGAATTCAAGCATAATTCGCGACACTCGTCAGTCGTACCAACATCTTGATAAACTGAATCGACGGTCTTGAGAATACGGCCGCTAAGTTTTTTGAATTCACACATTTTCACGGGTTCCTCGACGCAGTGATTTTCGAGATAATCAAAGTCCTTAGCAGTTTGGAATGCATTTGAACCAGCTACTGTCAATCGATCCATGTCGGATAATTCGCAAGTTTTCGTTGCATTTGCATAATTGGCGGATCTGAAAAACAAACAGAAAAAACCCAATCAATAAAATTGTTCTTTATAAATATATAGAAAATAAATTCCATTTAATGGTATCTTAATTGCTATCATAACTATCGGCATTGTATTAATTAACGAAAAGGGAATTACTAGAAAGAGAGAGAGAGAGAGAGAGAGAGAAATAGAGAGCAATTAAATATATCGATCTATATCGATTATTAGATTGCGACAAGAGAGGAAGGAAGGGGAAATAGTAGTAGAATCGGAAACGCTTTTAATTATCTAGTAAAATATAAGGAGGATAAAGATAAAATCTCATGCGGTAGTAGTAACAACAATCATATATTAACTTTTATATCTTTGAGCGTTACTCGTTTAGCTAGAATCACAAGACCGGTTTTGAAACGCATGAAAAAGGAAATTTCAACTGCGATCTTTTTGCGTAACGATTCGCGGAGTCATTTGCTCAATACTCTTGGTTACAAACGATCGAGATTTTCATCGAGGGCGTATGCAGCAGCAGCAGCAGCAGCAGCAGCAGCAGCAGCAGCAGCAACAGTAACAGCATGCAACATTAGTACTTCCTCAATAGAAAGGGCTGGATTACTAGTAAAAAAAGAAAAAGAAAGAGAGAGAGAGAGTTCTTCTCGGTTTATCGCTGAAATAACCGTTCTCATGAGACGTTCAAAGAGAGAAGAAAAAGTAGTTGGAGAAAAGGGGATAGCATAATTGCAAAAGGGTGACACTCGCCAAAGCAAAGCGTATCATTAATTTGCGAATCTCGACTTAAAGAAACGTAACGACTATCTTACAACGTATATCCTAACGATAATGAAATGTAAATGCGTTTATAGGACTTAACAGAAAAAAAAGAAAGAGAAAGAGAGAGAGAGAAAGAGAGAGAGAGTGAGAAAGAGAATTCTTCTTAGTGGTAGGAGGACGTTGTTATCTGTTCGAGCATTCGTGGCTTCGAGCATCGCGTGCGACTCGTTCTCGAAGAAAAAAAAAAAATAAAAGAAAATAAAAAATAAATGGAAAGAAAAGAAAAGAACAAAAAAATCGATTTCTCGAAACGCCCTCGGAACTATCGCATTTTCTTCTTCTTCTTCTTCTTCTTCTTCTTCCTTCAACTTACGTATTTTTGTTTTTTTCTTCTTTTTTTACTTAGCGAAGCCTAGAGGCTAAGAAGGTAATTCCTTAACGGAATTACGTAAAGAGAAAAGAGAGAAGTCTTAGAAGATCGTAACCGGTGTAGGTAAATCGAATGTGCACATCTCGACGTGCGCCACGCGACCTAATAGAATGCATATTTCACACTTATACACGTAATAATATATTATGCGTTATACGTAATAACGTATGAACACAACGATTACTACATTCTATTTTCATTTTATACCACATAAAATTGATGTAAAAAATCATATTATTATAAGGTATGAGATCGTAAGGTTAATTACACCTTTAAATGTTACATACGAGAAATAAATGATTCATTCATCGCATACATACATATATATATGTATATATATATATGGATTTATTATATATCCATTTTAATATCATTGAAGTTCCTTATCCTAGACGAAGTTTCACTAAGATAACGTATGATTTTATGTATATCGAAAGAGAATATGTTCTTCGGTGAGAAGATAAAGAGAAGTAGAACAGCAGAAGGCAAAGTTTAATCGTATGGATTTGAAACTTCTCAAACCTAGGATTGTCTCTCTCTCTCTCTCAATCTCTCTCTCTCTATTTCTCATTCTATTTCTATCATTCTATCCTTCTATCTATCTTTACGTTCTCGTACGCGTATTAACTTCGTCACAAAAGTTAGTATCAGTCGTCGAATACAATGAATCAGAATACATCGCTAACGGTGCATGGACCAAATTTATTCCAACGTCGCACCATCGATTTCGGATTATGTTGCCTTAAGACTTGAATAATATTCATGGAGATTGCACTGTTATGATTTCAATATTCTCCAGGAACTATATCTTTCTCCTTCTTCTATTTTTTTTCTCTCTCTCTCTCTCTCTTTTTCTCTCTCGTTTGCTTTTCTTTGTTTACGAAGAAAAGAAAAATCACTACGGTCTAACACGATCCCCGTTCGTGATAAACCCCTCTTGGCTTCCGTCGAGAATATAATCTAATAAACGCAAACACCCAATGTTCTATTCTCGATTATTGGAAGCTACCCTTTTCTTTGTTTTTTTTTTTTTTTTTTAAGAAGATCGACCTGCGTAGACTTTATGTGTCTTCTTTTTCCTCGTCTTCCCTCGTATCTTACTCCAGTTAGAATATTATTTTACAAAAAAAAAAAAAAAATTATAATAATATGGTAATATTTGATTTAGGAATAATTTTTATTTAATTTCATACAAAATGAGTGTAATTTATTCTTCATATTTAATTAGATACAAAAAGTATGTGTTAGTTGAAAGAGAATTTTACGAAAAGACGAAAACAGAGATAGAGAGAGAAAGAGAAAGGGATAAAGGGTTAGGAGATAAGGTTCGAAATAAGATATTATTACTCAAAGCCCTTTACCTAAAGAGAAACTAAGGATACGGGTACTAAAAGCCAAAATCTTGAAACTTTCGGAAAGACAAATACGATATCATCCCCTGCTATATCCTATCTCTCTCTCTCTCTCTCTCTCTCTCTCTCTCTCTCTCTTTCTCGTATAGAAATAATTAATGAAAGAAAAAAAAGGGGTATTGAAGTGTACTTAAACGCGTGAATTGGGATCTAAACGAAAACCTTGACCCTTCTTTTACGAAGGGTAAAAAGTTTGTTTTACCTTCGAATAAAGGGTTGTAAGATAGTAAAAGTGTATTTAGAAGTAAAGGGTGTTTTTCAAACTAACTCTCTTCGTTGTCTTGGTCGAATGAATGTACTGAGAATTAACTGAAGAAAAAGAAAGTCCTTCAACCAATGTGATGAGATGATACCAACTAAACGAAGAAAAAATAATAAAAAGACAAAGTTTAGTAAAGTCGATGATAACGATTTTTCTTCCTTCCTGTTCTCTTTCTCTTTGTCTTTCTCTTTTTCTCTTTCACTTTCTTCGGTAATTTTCTCTTTTAAGAATAAGGACAAAAGATATGCCGTTCATTCGTATCGTACAACTTAGAGCAAATCTCAAGGGAAATTTTAACCTCCGAAGCAGATGTTAAATGCGAAGTTAACTTCACCGAAGTGATGTCCCCCTTCCGACCCTCTCGTTATTTTTTTTCTTTCATCCCTTCCCACTGTTCTATCCTTCCGTGTTTTCCTTTTATTCCTCTCTGTCTCTCTCTCTCTCTCTTTCTCAATCTTTTTTCTTGTCTTATTCATTTCAATATTCTTTTTCCTCCTCCCGACCGTCTTTCTGATTTTTCTGTTCTTTCTATTATATCTTTTCGAGAGACACTTTACTTCGGATTCGTACCTATTCCGAACAAATGGCGAGACAAAAAAGACGTCGCGGATCAAGGCACGGGTACACCGTGGATAAGAGGAAGAGAATGACGAAAGGAGTCTGAGGGGTGAGGGTGGATGAAGGAGAAGAGTGTGCAAAGAGTGGAACGGGAAAGTCGGCTGTCGTTGGAAAAGAATTACAAGTAGCTCGCCCCGCTGCATCTCGATGAATCTCAAATTATTCGTCTCCCATGAAGACACAAGTGTTTCTATCTTTCTCTTTCTATCTTCTTTTTCTTTCTTTCTTATTTTCTTTTATTTTCTCCTACCCATCTTCTGTACTTCTCTACTTTTCTACTTGTTCTATTCTTGTTCTTCTTACGAGCGACTTCTATCAATACGAAATAAATGGAAAGAGAAATACTATACAACGATGGTAAACTTGGCCATGTAGTGACGTCGTCCTCGTCGTCGTAGTCGTCGTCGTTGTCGTCGTCGTTGTCGTCGTCGTTGTCGAGTGCAACGGCACGAACAACGCGTCGTCCTACGAGTGGTGGCGAGTTTCGCCTAGTCGATAGAAACAATTTTCTTCGCTTGCGTGCACGCGCAAGAAGCAAAGAAGTAAAGTTAGATTTTTCTCCTTTCACGAAACTTCTTTTCTTTTCTTTTCTTTTCCTTTTTTTTTTACTTTCGTGTTTTCTGTTCAAACACTTTTCACCCTTATTTATAAACATATCCGAAGATAGACACTGACTTGTGGGGGGTGAATTACTTTTTTTCCAGAATTGATCGCGACACAAGAAAAAGAAATTATAAAAAGAAATGCAAGACATATATAAAATGCATTCGATAAATGCATGGCCACGTATGGGGTCTAGAGGTTTGTTTTTTATCCATGGGTTAACGTATTTTTACTCAATATTAACGATAATTCTTCGAACGAATAATAAAAAACAAAATGGAGGGAAAAAAGTTAGCTACGGGAAAGTGCTAGGTTAAATGAATGGGACGGGGAATGAAAAGGGGTAGAAGGGGGGGAACGAGGGGAAGGTTAGTAGATGCGACTAATTTGCATTATTCTTTTGTATCCTTTTCCCGTTGGCTTGAGTGTACCGACCGAATAATCCCAGCAGACACGGATAAGCGTATATATTAACGATTCTCTAGCAAAAAGCGGTTTGCTCGAGTGCTAGTGGTGCTAGTCGTGCTAGTGGTGCTAGTGGTGCTAGTGGTGGTGGTGGTGGTGGTGGTGGTCATAGTCGTACGCGTTCAACCACGTTTCATATCTGCTATATTATTTACCCCCTTGTGCACAAAGAGCGCGTAATATCCAAATTAACTAATCAGCTTTAAATTTCAGTGAAGCGAGTGATCTATCTTTCTCTATTTCTTTTTTTATCAAAGACAAACATAGATTAAACTTATTTGCAAACATTCGAAAACGTTCGTAACATTTTTTTTCTATTAAAAGAAAATTAATATAGTTTGATATAACAAAACGTGATCTTTTATTTCCCTAATTTTTTTTCTGTAATATTTTTATTTATAATATAATATACTTAATAATTATATTAAATTAATAATTTAATAATTTATATTATATTAAATAAC